TCTTCTCGGCGAGAAGAACACCACTCAATGAACAGGTTCCACTTCAAGGCGTAAGCGTGTTTCGTAGACGGTGCTCTCGCCAAAGTGATGGTGTTCACTACCTCCTGGGTTAGGTCACCTAGAACCTCCGCATCCCGTCCAGGGACCAGACATGGAGTTTCCTGGACACGGGTGCCAAATTGTGCCCCGTCTCTGAGTCAGTAGATCCTTCCTCAGAGGAATCGGCCAAGGAGGGGCTGTCGTGAGGAGCACTAGCTCGGGGAACCAGGTCCGAGTGGGCCAATACGGCTCCACTAGCAAGACTTGCTCCTCGTCCTCCCGGATTTTGCACAGTGTCTGTGCGAGAAGGCTCACTGGGGGAAACGCATACTTGCGTAGGCCCTGCGGCCAGCTGTGTGCCAGTGCGTCTGTGCCGAGTGTTCCCTCGGGCAGGGAGTAGAACAACTGGAAGGAAGAGGTTTCTGGAGAAGCAAACAGGTCTACCTGAGCGGCTCCGAAACGTCTCCAAATCAGCTGGACTGTCTGGGGATGGAGTCGCCACTCTCCCAGGAGCATTGCTCGAGACATCTCGTCGGCTGTACAGTTGAGCAGGCCCGGAATGTGAACAGCACGAAGTGACCTCAGAACCTTCCGACTCCAAAGGAGGAGGTGGCGGGCGAGTTGCGACATGCGACGGGAGCGCAGACCACCTTGTCGGTTGATGTACTCAACGGTCGCTGTGTTGTCCGTTCGGACCAGTACGTGCTTGCCTCGTAAGCGCCCTTTGAGACAGTTCAAGGCAAGGCGCACTGCCAACAACTCTAGGCAATTGATGTGCCAATGCAGCTGCGGGCCCGTACAAACCCCTGAGACTGCGTGCCCGTTGTACGTGGCACCCCACCCGGTGGTGGAGGCATCCGTGTAGACCACAGCATGCCTGGAGATCTGCTCTAGGGGCACCCCTGCCCGGGGTGCAAGATCTGACCACGGGGTGAAGGTTTGGCGACAGGCCGGTGTAACTTGGACCCGGTGAGTGCCGCGCTTCCCCGCCCACCTCGGGACTCGGCCATAAAACCAGTGCTGAAGTGGTCTCATTGCTGTACCTCATGTAATAGGCCGAGCGGTGTAAGTACCGCTGCGGCCACCATATGCCCTAGGAGCCTCTGAATAAGTATCAGTGGGACCGCTGTCCTGCCCTTGAACGTATTCAAGCAGGCTAGCCCCGACCGCGCACGTTCCTCTGTGAGTTGGACCAGACGAATGCCTACAGGCCCGGGAAGGAAATACCGGGTCTCCCTGCCAGGAGGAGGCAGACTTAGGACACAATTGCATCGCTACCGCCCGCTCCACCGGGGGGATCACCGAATACCCCTTCGCTGTACCACCGTCGAGAATGGTGAGGGAGGAAGAGCCCACCGGCCGGTTTCTGGCAGTAAAAGGTGCCGTCCACGACCTGGTGAGCGCGTCATGCACTTCTGGGAAGAAAGGCACCGGGACGGGGTGCGAGCCACCCCGAGAAACCAATCATCCAGCCTTGAGGGCTCGGGACACAGTGGAGGTTTCCACTCGAGCCAGACCCTTTCGGCGACCCGGGAAAGCATAGCTGTCATCT